ATAAATTTAAAAGGAATGAAACAATTATATTAGTTGAAAAATATGTATATTTAATTAATTTAAACAGAATTAATATAAATTCATAATTGATAGAAAATGAACTTTATAGCTTCAAATAGACCATAAAAAATATCATTTATTTTTTTATTTTCTAAAAATATTATCTAAAATGGAGGAGAATATTGAAAATAATCTTCCAAAGATTAATGAGATCATTAAATAAAAATGTGAAGAGAGAGAAAAACAAATTTAATAAGAAGTTAAAACTCATTTAGAAAATTATCAAAAGGAATGTTAAAAATTGATAAATGAGAAAAAAGGATTAGAAAAAGATTTAGAATTAGAAAAATAATAAAAGATGAAAGAAATGGAGTAAATAAAAAAAAATGAAGAAGAAAAATAAAAGAAATATTACGATTTGACAGAAAAATTAAAAGCTTTACAAGATGATTTAAATAAAACTAAATTCGAATTATCTAACAAGGAAAAGTCTAATTAAAATTTGATTAAAGAAAAAGTATATTACAATCAAATATTGATTAATTAAAGATAGAATTTGATAGAGTAAAATTAGAATTATAAAATAAAACCAAAGAATTATAAGAATTAAATGACAAAATTGAAAAAGGTTAGAATTTAAAAATTATTGAATAACAAAATAAATTTTATGAAGAATAATTAGCTTCTTAATCAGAAGATTTTTCAAATATAATTAAAAGACTTATGAGTGAAAAAGAAGAATTATCAAATTAATTAACAGATTTCACAATTAAAGAATTGAAATAAAACCAATAAAAAGAATAGGCAGCTCTAGAGAAGCTTTACAAACTTTCTAAGAGTTAAAAAATAGTGTGATGAAAGATTAAAATTGGGATTAGACTGAATAATATAATGGTTTATATTAAGCAAAGGTTTCAGAATTAGAACAAGAAAAAGAGAGTTTAATTTAATAAACTTAAGTAAGCTAAGAATAATCTAAAAAACATGAAAATGATTTGAAGAATTAATAATAAGGTATTTTGAAATGCAAGTAGAAATATGAAGAATGCTAATAAGAATTAAAAAAATGTTAATCATAAATTTAAAATAAAATAAATGAGATTGATTTAAAAGCTTAGTAAGAGAATAAAACTTAACAAGTACTCTCAAAGTATAAACAATAATTATAAAAATTGAAAGAGAACTTTGATAATTAATCTAAAGAATTAGAATTACAAAAATGTAAATTTGAAGATTTAACATAAAAATATGAATAAGAATAAGAAAAGAGCTAAAAATTATAAGAAGATATCGAAAATGAGAAAAAGAGAAGGAAAGGAGATATTGAGAAAAGTAAGAAGCTTTTAGAGGAAAAAAATTTGGAAATTGAAAGGTATTATAATCATTTTTAATATTAATAGATTATAATAATAAATTCAATAAAAAATAATTGAAAGTTCTCAAAACATAGTTTAAAAGGAGATTGAAAAAATATAAAATCCTTGAAATATACATATTTAATTAATAAAATTATTAACTAATCATTCATGACATCTTATTTTTGATATTGTATGTCATTCAAAATATTATTTATTTATTTATTTTTATTCTTATTAAATAGTTTAAAAAATATTAAATATTTAATTCTTAGAAAAATTAAATATTAAAATTTTTTTAATTAAGATTTAATTGATTGGTGGACGAGTCAATGGTCCCATTCCCAAATACATCTTTCTTTTAGCCAGGTCCTTTCATAGTGTTAAAATTAGGACCCAATGTGAAGGGATAAAAAGTATGAGGACAGATCCTATGGTCAGGAAAGGGTGCTGGATGAAGGTTATGAGTGAAGTATGAGCATAAGTAGCCCATAACCCCTGAGTGTCGAAAGGCTAACGGACACTGATTGTCCTCCTTAATTTTCTATAACATTCGATTTGGGCCAAAAAAAGAATTCTGATGAACAAGAGGTCTCGCACGAACTTTTGACTGTGCCAAGAGAGAAAAAAAGAAGAAGGGAGAAGGACTTATCTCGAGCTTAACCCTTTTTGCCTTGGGACCTCGTTTTCTTAATAAGAAAATCCATTCAGGAATCATTCACAAGGCATAATGGGAGGTTAAGCTATTTAAAGTTCCAAACAAGATCCTGGAAAGACATCCCCCTGTGTCGTTAATTGTGAAGGGGTGTAATTATACCATTCAAAATATTTATATATATTTAATCTCTAAATTACAATTTTGAGTAAAATTAAATATAAATGACATAATACTTATATAAATATCTCTAATAGGTATAAAATAAATAAAATTTAATTAAAATAAATAAGATGAATTTTGAGGTAATATTAGATAATATTATGTTGGATTTGAAAAATTAAATAATTACAATATATATTTTAATAAACAATAATTAATAATATAAGCATATGTGCAACATATTTATCTCATTTTAAGAATGCTATTAATATAGGATATCAATTATAATATTTATAATGCATATAATTATAAATAAATCAATAACAAAAAATGTTAAGTATTTTTCTTTATCAAGGCTACTGATTTTTTTAAATTCTAAAATTTATTAAAGATTTTTACAATATTATTAATTTGGTTGAAAACTTGAATTATGATGATAATTTAAATATGTAGGTAGAAATTATATAAATATTTGAGAATAACATATAAAAATTAATAAATATGTGAAATTCTTAAAATGGAATAGTTGATATGTGATCAAGTGATATAAAATTTCAAATAGCTTCATATATAAATCATTTTCAATTAGAAAATATTAAGATATATGATGCAATAGAAAATAAGGATAACAAAGTATTTTAATAGAAGCGAGTATGTTAATCAGATTAGTAATTGCACAATTAAGAAATCATTTTTTGGAAAGGAAATAAAAGATAAATAAAAATATAAAGGAATATAATATAATTCCTGAAATAGAAGTATTGAATTCATATTAGAAATCATAATATAATATTGAATTCCATGCATTTTCATCTGAATTGTTAAAAGTTTATTATGATTAGGAGATAAGGAAAACATTAATGAGAAATTAGAAGTAGCAAATATTGAATAAATCAGATGTGTTTAGTTTTGAAATAATGATTCTAGAATTAATCTCACAATTTAGTATTAAATATAATGAATAATATTATGATTGAGAATCAAAAACAATGAATTACTAATAAATAATAAATGCTATATAGTTTTTAACTAATAGAGGGCATTGTACAGTTTTGTAGAATTTAATATTATAAATGAGTTTACAAGATGTTAGAGAGAGACATGGATTCTAAGAAATGAGAAGAGGACTTCAAAGTTTAGAGAATGAAATATTATGGTATACAGCATTCTATAGAAGTGATATTAAATGATAATTATAATTATATTATGAATTAAGTTGAGCCTTTTGGAATTAGAGTAATACCTATAAAATGGGTTTTAAAGTTTGATCCACCTATTATAGGATTAGTATATAGGTAACATTAGAAAGAGAAGAAAAAACATCTTTATTAGATATCGTTAAACAATTTGATTTTTCTGACCAATCCAGAAGACATTGTGAATTAGTTGATCTATGAACATCCTGTATATTTAAATAGAAAATTTATTAAATATGAGCAAGTATTCGAATTAATTATTATTAACATAGTTGATTGGATTAGTACGTAAATTGCTGGATTACAAAAGTCAGAAACTCTAAGAAATGGTAGAGTTTATGGAAGATCAATTGGTTGAATATGATGATGCTGATTCAGATCAAGAAGAAAAATATACATCTAATCAGAACTACTCTTTTTGATTTTTTAATTAATATAATTAGTATTATATATATGTATAATTAATGTTTATACTAATACAATATATATTTCTATATTAAGTTTGTTTTTAAGATATCTATATTATAATTCGTCTTTGATATAAATAATTTTCTCTTCTGCTCTATTTTAATATTTTATATTGTAGATTTTGAATATATTCTATATTATTATTTTATAATAGACTTGATATGACTTGTGTAATTGATTAGACATGATTTATTAATTTTATAATTATTGGAATATAATATTTATATGAATGTAAACTCATTTAACTGGGACATCTTTATAATCAATAAATTCTCTTTCAATTTTATCTTTAGTTACGTTAAGTAATCTAATGATTCCCCCTGATGATCCATCTCTATACATTGCATGAGCTACTGCATGTAAAACAAATGCTCTTGCTTCTTAAAGTGTCATATTCTCCTTAACACATTATTTTATTCAATATACTTTATAATTAGCATCACAGAATCCCCATATAAATGTACTACCAGATCCACCAATACTCCATTTCTATTCTATTACTGAACCTCCTAAAGGTAATGTGAATATTTAAGGTCCTTTGTATGGATCCCATCCAGCGACAATTATTGCTGCTGATAACGAACTTAGCTTATTTATAAATTCTATACTCTTTGTATTCATAAAGAAAATTTCTAAATAAATTTGCAGCTGTGGCAACTGCAGGTAATCTACCTAATTCTTATGCATGTGCATCAACATAATATCTAACATATTTAGCAATTGTTTATGTATCAGCAGCTGATCCACTTCTTAAACAAAATATTCTATCATGAACATAATCTATTTTATCAGCACATCTATCTGCAACAAATTGACTATGAATAATTTATAGATAATTACCCAGAAGATGTACGACTATCAGCTCCTATTATTAATCCACCATCATAAATGACAGCCATGATAGTTGTACCAGTTGTTTCTGGTTCAAATTTTGGTGATAATATTTCTGTGTAATTCATTATTTTAAATATATTTTTAAGATTAGTATTAAATGAAACTTTATAATACTTATACAATTATAACATTTAATTAAAATTATTTAATACTTTATATTATAATGATAACTCATAAAGATAAGCTCATTATTTATGTAGATATAGGTTAAAATTTATATTAAGAAAGAGGACTCATGTATTTACATAGACTAATCCTAAAATCAATAATAATAAATATACTTTTAAAAAGGTTAATCGTATTCTCCAATGAAAAAAGGATGGGCCAAGCAATCATCAGCAGTATATCTTAGATTAGGATCTGAATGCAACATTGACAATAAGAGATCTTTGGCATTCTTATCTTTAATGTGAGAACTGATCTTCATTCTACCATTCATATTTTCATCAAGACTATTATAAATACCCTTTCCAGTTAATAATTTATGAAATATAACTCCAACACTGAAAATATCACTTTTGGAAGTTATAACTTAATTCTGAAAAACTTCAGGAGCTATATAACCTCCAGTTCCAGATCGAACATTTGTAGTACTACCTATTTATGACAAACCAAAATCTATGATCTTTACTGTTCTGTTTTGAGTCAATAATACATTGTCATATTTTAAATCTTTATGGATTATATTCTATGAATGTAAATGACTAACTCCTATTTTAATAATTTAGATTAAATTACCTTCTAATAATTATTATAAGATAGGTCTTATAACATTTATAGGTACTTTTTTATTTGTATACTCATTTTATAAATCTCCTAGTGATTTATCTTAATAATCCATTAATAAAAAGATTTAAATTTCATCTTTGTAGAATTCATCTGAATGAAGAATATTTACATGAGGATTGTCATTTAAAATCTTATTGATCTATAATTCTAAATTAGACTATTATTAGAATCAATATTTCTTATACATTGTTGTTTTAAAGAACTTTTATGACTTTTAAATTTTCCCCCCGTAAAACTTGAAGAATCTGTATTGTTTATTTAAAATGATTACCTCACAATGTTCTGTTTTCTTAATCCATCTTTAGAAGGTCAACTCCTTCTCCCAATTGTAAAATCCAAGTTTACCTTTTAATACATTTCTCAGTTCAGTAACTTAAATTACATCACCTTAAAATGAATATAGTCTTTGACCATATTAACATAAAGTAAAACCCTTTAACAATTTATCCTGACTCCTAAAGTAATATTAATTATCATACTTATCATAATCCCACTCAACACAATAACTAGTTTAAGTAAACTCTAAGACTTTTTCACTTTAGCCTTTGAATCCTTCTATAATCATTTTTTCTGAGAATATTTTCACATTGACTTTTATTTCAGTCATTGTGATCTACAAGAAAGAAGATTGAAATATTGGCAAAAACATAATTTAGAGGGATTTTAATTACAATTTAAATTGTTAAAAATCATTGAAATTTAATAATATAAATTCTAAATCATACTCAATCTATTTTAACTTTTTTATTTATTACTTCTTCAATTTATTAATTTTCTTCATCCTTCTCATCATCCTCAAAATCACTATTATTATTTTCATCTTATTATTCTAATAAACCAAAATCTGATTCAGCACTTCTTTTATCTAATTAAAATGATAAACAACACATTTTTTTCATCTTAGTTACATTCTTTAAAATATGAAAATTAAGAATTTAAGTCTTCTCAAACCCAGGTAAACATTGTACTATTCTCTATTAAAATTGATCAATCAATTCTGCTTCATCTTTTCCTTTCGCAAATCCATAAACATGTATATATGGTAATTCTACTTTACCTGTCTTTTAAGTGTATCCTTTGAATACATCCAAAAAATTTATAGCTAAAACTGGTAAATTCATATAAACATGATTAAAATCAAATTCTAATTATTTATCATAAATCTTTAATACAACATCTCTTGCATCCATATTCAAAGGAATCACTTGATTTTATAATTTATTTTCAGTAATATTCTTTTTCAAATAAAAAAAACATTCTGGATTTAAATCATTGGCTATACATTAAGCATCTAAATCTTTAGCTATTCTTAATGAAAAAGGACCTATACCGCAAAATAAATCTAAAACTTAAATTTTTTAATCTTTTGATAATTCTTTTATAAATTTAATAATTCTTTCTCTTTCTGAATATAAACGTGTACACCAATAAACTTTCTCAAAGTTAAGATTTAGTTTTATACCACCTTCATTTACAACAGCATCATATGAATCCTTTCCTGCTAATAATTCTAATTAAGGTGTTCTATAAACATTGTGTAATTTTTCTAATTTGTTACATACAGTTTATAAATTTTTGTTTTTATCTAATAACACTTAACCTATCAAATATTTGTATGGTAATTATTCAGGTGATAAATTAAAATGAGCAATTTTACCAATAATTTCAAAACCTTAAGGAGGTTAAATATTTTATGGTATTAATTATGAAAGTACTTCATTATATGATAAATCTTCATATCCTACAAGGACCTCCTTCTCTCTAGTTTAACAATTATTTTCATTCATAAATTATAATAAATTATCTGGAAAAGGCTCTTTAAATGTAGTATTGATTGATTTAATATTTTATTCTTCTTAATACCATCTACTTCCTTTAAAAATAAATTTCTTAAATTTCTGAGTGAAAGAATTAATATGATGGACATCCATCTAAATGGAAATAACCTTTTGATGTTTTTACAATGAGGCCTTAATTTCCTATGTCAATTTCATTAATAAATATATAAAAATGAATGAATATATAAAATTATTCACAAAACAGTATCATCATTTCTGGCACTTTCAAATTAATCATAAGTATTATTATAATAATTCTGTTTATTTTTGAAAAAGCATCTACATAAATTTCTAGCTCTGATAATTAAAAATATTGATATTAAGCCAGATAAAACTTAGATGATGTTTTTGTGTTATGCGTATGAATCATAATGAGCATAAAAGTACTTTAGGATGGCATAATGGATTAAAACTATGATATCATAATTTAAGTTTTTGTATGTTCGTGATATTTTTGAATCGATTTAATCAAAAACATAAAATACAGCAAAAACCTGTATAATTAATGCATGACAAAGGAATCCAGCTGCTATAAAAAATATCGCAAATTAATCAAATAGTAATAATATACTCAAAGTGAAATTTGAGAGAAAAAATCCCTCATTAAGCATAATTTCATATTGGAAAAAAACCAAACAAATTAAAGGAAATAAAATTAGTGCAAAATATCTTGTCGAAGAAGAGCCAATCATATCTAAAAAAGTTCTTAAATTGATTATGACCTACATAATAAAGAGTATCATAATAGCTTATGTAATTGCCATCCTTACTGTGAATACATGCTTTATTACAATAAAATAATTAGTTTAGGGTAATTACTTGAATTTTAAACGTATCACTGAGAGAGAGATAATTAGTATGAATAACAAATATTTTAAATATTTTAAATTTAGAAACACTTGAGCTAATTCCAGGTAACTTCAATAAATTTAAATTAATACTTCCCAAAAGCATAACAAAAGAGTAAACCTTAAAATGCTTTTTCTCTAAACACATTCAAACTATGACAAAATATTAATAGAATCAAATTCTCATATGTAAATATATATATGCTTGATACAAATACTACATGACTTGAGTTGCTTAAGAAGTAAATACTCGATATATTCATTATTGAACATATCAAGATACACCATACCCTGCCTTTCATCCATTAATTGATAAATACCTATTTTTGCAAACATCAATCCAAATACGATAGTCAATAACCAAGTGTAATTTGGTTAAAGAGAACTGTAAAAATCTATATCCACAGTTCGAATTCGAATGTAGAGTGATGTTAATAAGACAATCATGTAATCCAAGAAAATATATTTTTTTCTTCTCCTTGTTATTGATTTTAACATAATATTTTATATTTATTTATTAATTATGAATATTCATAATTTGAATATATTAGGATGTTTAAGAATTCCTGAAGGATTTGGTGACTTGCTTCTTGCTCTTGGGCTAGCAGATGGTCTAGCTTTACGAATACTTCCTTCTGAAGGTAATTATAGAAACATTTATTTCTGTTGAGGAGTTCTCTATTCTGTATTTACCCAAGGATGATATTCAACATCTGTTATTCTCAATCGTTATTCATTATTTTTTTCTAACATCTGATTCAACAAAGTGATAACCTCTTCACTCAAATTATTTGGTGGGAAATACAATTCCTTATTGATTATATTATTAATTATATCTTATTGTGTTTTGCCATTAAATGGAACATTTCCAAAAAGCATTTTATAGAGTATAATTCCCATAGCCCATATATCAACAGATGTGCTAACTCTTGTTACTCTTCCTGCAAGAATTTCAGGAGCCATATAATGCAAACTGCCAATATTAACATGATCTGTATTAGTTGGACATTGAATTCCAGCAATTCCAAAATCTATAGCTTTTAATTCATCAGAATCTGGTGATGTAAATAATAAATTCTCTAATTTCAAATCTCTATGAACTACATTTTTTTAATGACAATATGAAATTGCATATACAATCTATCTAAAATATTTGCAAGCTTCTTCTTCTGAGAATCTTCCTCCTTTCTATTTCAATCTATCACTTAACTCACCACCTTCCAAATATTCCATTATAACAGCCATTTATGTATTTTTTAATGCATAAGAATTAAAAACTTTTACTATATTCTTATGACTTAAAGAACGTAAAACTTCTGCTTCTCTAAAATTTAGTTCTATGTCTTAAGCATTTCCTATCATTTTTATTATCTTTATTGCAACTAATTCACCTGTTATCCTATGTTTAGCAAGTGTTACATATCCAAAACCACCTTCTCCTAATTATTTCATTGTTTCATATTATGAGAATGGAGAATAAGGATCAAATTCATCTGAAATTCAATTATTTTAATAATACCTCCTCTAGATGCATAAAATGATTATCCATCTTTAAAAAACTTAACATCATCATCAAATATTTCTACACCTTATTATGTAAACAATCTCATCTCCTTAAATTTACCAAATTTCTAATCCAGTTGTATTTAAATGTCACTCCATGTTGTATTTTAAGCTATCTTCAAATCTGTATACTTTGAAGAATCTCCATTCAAATATACTCGAATGGCCTTTACAAAACAAAGAGGAAAATCATCATATTCTTCATACATCATAACTTAATTTAATTTCTTTCAACAGAAATTTTATTTCAACATTCTTCCATTCCTATTCTCTCCTTCTATACTCTTTATCTATTATTATCACTCTCATCTTTCCTATTCTATTCTCACTTAACTTTACTATTTTAAAATTCAAAAAATATTTTCAATATCATTAATGATCCAACAAATACATATTAAATTACATATGTACACATTCATCCTGTTTAAGATACAATTTCAAAATTGAGAATAAAATTCTAAACCATAATTTAAAAATCTAAAAAGTTTAAGAATTCAATCAATTAAATCAATATTTCAGAATCAATTCCCTCTTTATTTTAAGAAATCTTAATTGATATAATTTATTCAGAAAATTCATATCAATTATACAGGGTTGTTTATTTTAAATCTTTAATATATTGAATTCTTAAACATTCTAAACTTATTGAAAATGGCATTCTTAATTCAATATAAAGCATCTTAACTATATGAAAATTGACAAGAAATATTGTTTAAGATTATTAACAACAATAAAAATGTTTGTTAAAATGTTGAATTTTTAATTTTATTCATATAATAAATGTTTGAAGTAATGGATTACTTTATTATTATTAATTGAAAATTTAAATTTAATGCAAAAACTAATAGATGAATTAAACTTACCTTAATACTAATAAGTAGAATAAGTAGTTAGAATATACACCTTTTTCAAGACAAAAGAATTGAATCTGTAAATAAAATTTACTTTTGATGATATCTACTAGTGTTTGGTATTGAAATTAAACTCAAAATTTAGCTGAATAATGAAAAAGCATTTTTGATTGAATATTTAGTTTGCTTTTATTTGGAAGTGCATTTAAATGATATACATCATCCTTATATATAATTATTGATGAATCACAAGTATATTACATAAATAATTTAGTCGATGTATACGTTAATGTTTGATTTATAATGAGATGACAAATATATTAAGATTTTTAATAGAACATCATAAAATTACAGATGCAATAACTATTCCAGATGAATTATTTCATGAATTAGATTTTGAAAGCAAAATAGAGATCTTAATATTTATTGTTAATATATTAGCTTTTTAAAGTAAATGGTTTAATGGTGTAATATAAAATAAAATACAGTTATTTTAAAAAGGAATTGTAAAAGAAAAGAAATAGGAATCAAAAAAATAATGGTAAGAAGAACTTCATGAATTATATGGTTAATAAGAAGAAATAATTACTGAAGAAAGAAAGATATAGAGTAGAAGACAATAAGGTATATCACATAAGAAGAGGATAAAGGAAATTGAAAAAGAAAAAGAGTCGCTAAATGAAAGGATATTTAAATTAAATAATTTGATTGATACAGATGTTTAAGAACTACAAAAATTTGGTGTAAATTCGATGAAAATAATATATAGAGATAAAGAATGTTGTGTTTGGATAATTTTAGCAATGCCTGATTATATTTTAATAAAAGTAAATAAGACTTTTAGTTTAATTTATGGAGCTGAGATTTATGAGTTTATAAACAAATTAGAAGATAATAAATTGAAAGAATCTTTAGAAGGTGAATAATTTAGTTAGGATAAGAGATAAGTTCAACTTAATTAAAAAATAGCGTTTTAATTAGATTAATATGGTTTAAGTCAATATAAAAAGGAAGATGGAAATCCAAATTATTTAATATTTTGTTAAGAGGTTAATAATTTAGATGAAATTCTAACAAATATGATATTGGAAATAGAAGAAAAAATAACATTATTTTTTCGATAATATTTGAAGTTAAATTGGACATATCCAGTTAATAGAAATATTTGGAGAGAAGAATTAAGAGAAGGCAAACAATAAGACTATATTTATTCATTTCTGAGTAGGATTGGATAATTTAGGAGTAGATTTTATGATTTTGATAATGATGATGAAATTCCAGATAATTATAGAGACAAAAAAAGTATGATATTTTAATATATAATGATTAGTACCTTTATTTTATTATTATAAAAATTTAGGTTAAGATTTATAGGAAGTTTAGAATTGTGATTATGCATATGTATTAATAATATATTGGCGAGTTTTGATTTAACAAAATAAAATAATAGAAAGATAGAAAGAGAAATTAATAGAATAAGCAGATTAGATAGAGTTATAAAATAATAAATCTCTTTAGAAATCTATATAGTCTATAAAACCAAAAAGAGCATAACGAGCAATAATAGATGATGATGATGATGAAGATTTTGATTTAAATTCTTATTATTATCGATGATTTAAATTTTGATTTAAATTGTTATTATTATAAATGATTTAATTTTTGATTGATAACTTTCATTATTATTAAACTTATTGATTCAAGGGTGGATTGTAAATCAAACTAATAACTTATTTGATTCTCGAATAGATTTATTTGAATTAGAAATAATTTCCTGACAATCTGTTGACATTCAATTTAATTAATTCGTTATCATAATCTACAAGTTCAATAGAGAAATTTAATTTTTCTTGAACTTCTTCCTCTTCTTATTCTTAAACTTCTTCTTAATCTTCTTCTTAATTTTCTTCTTCTTAAACTTCTTTTACTTCTTCTTCTAAGAAATTAATCTAAAAATAAAATTAAATAATTACTTTATATTTAGATTCATGAATTTTATCAACAGTTGCATTGAATTTCTTACAATATTTCAATAAATAACAGAGTATAAACTTTGGATCTTAACAGAGTAATAAATCATTGGTCAATCCAGTGTCTTTACCAGGAGTAATTTATCTTTTCTCATCAAATGTTAAGTTATATTTTTAAATGACTTATGTAAAATCTTCTTCATCACATTCTCCAACAATAGCTCTAAAAACACCTATAGCTCCTTCTATTAATAAATCTTAAAATATAAATACTTTATTGATTATTATTATTCTTTTAAGCTTGCTTTTTCATTTTAGAAGCTAAAATATCAGCTTAAACTCTTTCATATCTTTTTTTGAATTCACCTTAAATTTATTGAAGAGTAGCAGTTTATCCTAAAGTCCATGGATGTTTTAAACATTATTCTAGAGTGAATCTTTAATCAGGATTTGGAGCTAACATTCCATTAATAAGATTTCTTAATAATAAGAATTTAAAAATACCTAAAATCTTAAGGGAAGAATTCAGGATTTCCACCTTTATATCTCAAATGGTAGTTCCAAAATTAATCTTATTTATTAGTAAGTAATAATCTGAAGTAGGAATCCTTTTCAGAAGCTTGAGAAAATGGAGGTGACCCAGCATGAAGTATAAATAATATTACACCTGCAGAAAATATATCTGCTTTAGTTCCATTATATTCTTTCTTAGCGACAATCTCTGGTGCCATATAACCTATATATTATTATTATTTATTATACCAGGGGTTCCAAGATTCGTTTTTAACTTTGCTGCCTCCATTACTTTAGCAAATCCAAAATCTGCCACTTTCAGATTGAATTATTCATCCAATAAGATATTCTCCAATTTCAAATCTCTATGACATATTCCTTTGTCTGTCATATAGACCATTGCATCCAATAATTATTTAAAGTAAAATCTAGAAACTTCTTGAGAAAATCTTCCTGATAAAGAAATATATTCAAAAAGTTCTCCACCTTAAGCTAATTCCAATATTATGCATACACGTTACTCTATTTTACCATTTTTTCTCTATTTAAATATTTATCAATTTTTACCCTATATGGTAAAGCATTGCTGAATTCTATCAAATTCACTAAATTTGGATGATTCAATTTTTATAGTATTAAGATTTCATTAGTAAGTGCTTTGATATTCTAAGCTGTATCATGGTCTTTCTTGAATATCTTTATAGCCACCTTTAATCCATTCTTCTCACCCAATTTTACCCTATACTCTTTTAAATACTAATTACTTCGCATGATATCCTGATCCTAAGGTCTCCAGTATATTATAATCACCACATTGACTGAATTTTTTTTCAATCTCCATTTATTACATTATTTTTAATATTTAATTAAGACAATAACTTTTATGCTTAAATAATCAATTTTAAATGTTAATCATATAGTATTTAACATTTTTTTATAAAATATCTAAATAAAATTTATATTCAAACTTTGTCTAGATAGCTTTATACTAAAGTTTATATTTTTTTAGATAGCTTCATACGAAAATTTAAATTTCTACATCCTATCTATTAGATCTCTTTATTATACAAATATATTACAATTTAAACATCCATTCGAGTTCATCTATATAATATCTTTATTTAATGTTTAATATTTAATGAATCAATAATCAAAATCTGTTTCTATTTCCTTTTGGTTTCTTTTAACAACGATCTTACCATCTCTTTATTATTTATCTTTATTTTTAATTAATAATAGATATATTTTCTATTACTTATTAATATGTAATAAATTAATTCATTACACATTTCCTTCTTTAAATTGTTATTTTTTCTAAATATATTTATACACATTGATTTAATAATCTATTTAAACCAAAAAATATAACAAATAATATGCTTCATGATGTCAATGGAGGTTAACTATTTGATTAAGTTTTTAATGTGATTGCTTCCATTTCTTATTCTTATGATCTTGATGAAGACTTTTCTAGAACACATAAATATAAAGGAATGGATTACTTTAATAGCATTTTCATTAATATATAAATTGCTATTATTAAAACTAATACTAAAATTAATGAATAGTAAAACATGTTATTATTATAAGCATTTCCAAGTTCATTTAAACTTTTCTTATCCCTTTCTAAAATTATTTTATATCTTACAATAATAAATAGATTTTGCAATACCAATTTACAATGTTGATGTATCAAAATGTGTGTAATACTTTTAAAAAAAAACAGTTCCCAAAACTAAGACATCTGCATTATAAATCTATTAAAAATTTAAGTAACATTTATGCTATAAAAAGTAATTGTAATCACAATAGGCTATATAATCTTAAGGTAAGAGTGTCAAACTAAGATTACTATCAATATTAATATTCAATTCAGGATATGATTACTCATTTTAAGAACACATAATCACATTGACTTTATTTAAAACTTCTTTTTCACAATTTAATTGGTAATCCTCATTGAATATTGCAATTAATTTATTAAATTTATATTTTGATATTAAGAATTTAGACACTCCACTATCAAATATAATCATTTAAGAATATGATTCTAATTTTTATTTATTGTTTTTCCCAATAATTTCTATAGATTAACCTTTCACAGTCCATTATTCCGATTCAATAGTTTGTACATATTATAATTCATTAATATAGTAATTTTTGTTTGGTTTACCAAGAATCAAAACAGATGTAGATTAACAATTTTATTCATTTAATAAAAGTCCAAATTACATCGCATCAATAACATTCTAAACATACATTTGTTACAACAAGTTATCCTCTTTTTACAATTCTTTTTTACTAAATCCAATAGCACCATCAGCAATTATCGAATAAAAATATTCAATTTTTTATGCATCAATAATTGGTAACATAACAGAATGATTCATCAAATCAAATTTTTAATTGTATTATACTCCACTAATTTTGCCTTGTACATTAACTATTGTTTTATTATTTGTTGATGTGCACTTCAAACATTCATAGTATCTTTTTCTATTGGAATTCTTTCCAAATATCCATATGTCTTCATTCCAAGTGTCTATCAATAGATTGTATGTTATATTATTAGCTGATATAGGCAAACTATAATAATTAAATTGAAGATTTGTTAAATTTACATCCAAACAAGAAACTATTGCTATTATTAATATTATCATATTTTATATAAATTAATTATATATATATATATATTTTTGCTTTACAATTTTCTTTTATTNGCATTTCCAAGTTCATTTAAACTTTTCTTATCCCTTTCTAAAATTATTTTATATCTTACAATAATAAATAGATTTTGCAATACCAATTTACAATGTTGATGTATCAAAATGTGTGTAATACTTTTAAAAAAAAACAGTTCCCAAAACTAAGACATCTGCATTATAAATCTATTAAAAATTTAAGTAACATTTATGCTATAAAAAGTAATTGTAATCACAATAGGCTATATAATCTTAAGGTAAGAGTGTCAAACTAAGATTACTATCAATATTAATATTCAATTCAGGATATGATTACTCATTTTAAGAACACATAATCACATTGACTTTATTTAAAACTTCTTTTTCACAATTTAATTGGTAATCCTCATTGAATATTGCAATTAATTTATTAAATTTATATTTTGATATTAAGAATTTAGACACTCCACTATCAAATATAATCATTTAAGAATATGATTCTAATTTTTATTTATTGTTTTTCCCAATAATTTCTATAGATTAACCTTTCACAGTCCATTATTCCGATTCAATAGTTTGTACATATTATAATTCATTAATATAGTAATTTTTGTTTGGTTTACCAAGAATCAAAACAGATGTAGATTAACAATTTTATTCATTTAATAAAAGTCCAAATTACATCGCATCAATAACATTCTAAACATACATTTGTTACAACAAGTTATCCTCTTTTTACAATTCTTTTTTACTAAATCCAATAGCACCATCAGCAATTATCGAATAAAAATATTCAATTTTTTATGCATCAATAATTGGTAACATAACAGAATGATTCATCAAATCAAATTTTTAATTGTATTATACTCCACTAATTTTGCCTTGTACATTAACTATTGTTTTATTATTTGTTGATGTGCACTTCAAACATTCATAGTATCTTTTTCTATTGGAATTCTTTCCAAATATCCATATGTCTTCATTCCAAGTGTCTATCAATAGATTGTATGTTATATTATTAGCTGATATAGGCAAACTATAATAATTAAATTGAAGATTTGTTAAATTTACATCCAAACAAGAAACTATTGCTATTATTAATATTATCATATTTTATATAAATTAATTATATATATATATATATTTTTGCTTTACAATTTTCTTTTATTACTTAACTAAATAAATTTTATTGCTTTTATAATATTCGTTATCTTTAATTTGAATTATATACTCTTATTGTATTTGATAAATTAAAATTATTAATCATACTTTTTATATTTAATTTATCTAATGTAAACTAAAGAGAATAAGTAAAAATTTTGCGCTCATTTTTTTAGTTCCTCACTTTCTACGAAATATATCAAATCTGATGGTATTCGTAAATTAGTTGATTTAACTAATTATGAAACTATACGATAATAGCAAAAAATGTAGATGAAATATACCATCAGCCATTAATATTAAAAAATTCTTGGAAGATTGCCAGATGCTAAATTTTTTAATCCAAAATCTGAATCTTATGTCTCTTATCCTTGCTATAATGAGAAATATTTACAATTTCCTAAAGAAATATTATCTAAGCTAAAAAAAAGGGTACAATTTACTTTAAATTCAGACATAAGATGATGATTGCGATACTGATGAGGAAGTCAAATAGCATTCCATAAATCATAATGTAACAGAAATTCTGAAGTCATTATCTGCGATAAATAAAAAATCATATGAAACATCAGAATATTTATGAATGATATTTTTTTTATTAAATTTAGAAGTATTACATCTCCCTTAATATTTTAATGTTAGAGCATCAAAAGAGTTTCATTTTTTATTAAGTTATTTACTAAAAATTTAGTCAAAAAATATAATTCTATTCATTAAATTTCATTAATAATTATATAAATTATATTTACGTAATTTTTATTAATATCTAAAATATTATGTAGAAAATCTCTCCCCAAACTAATAGTTTAAATATGAAAAAATACTTTAATTTTTATTGTTATTTATTTGGATCTATATGATTATTAACTAAAAGGACGATTTCATAAAATAATTTTATCATTAATGAAAATATATATATTAATACAATATTTATAAATAATTATAATTAACGAATATATGAGTTCTTAAGAATAATAAGAATCTAAAAGTGTTAGAGATGAGGTATCTCCATCAATCCGAGATTTCATAACAAATTTTCGAAAATAATAGGCTTAACTTGCAAAACAAAATGCATATGAGCAATCAATTAAAAAAACTATTCCAATAAAATAAATAACGTAATTGAAATTGAATAGATAATCAGTTGATACTTAGACAGATCTTACAGAGTATTAATCAGATACATCATTTAAAAGAAATTCAGTCTAAATCTCATAAAGATAAAACTCTACATATTCTTAATCATGTTTGACTACTAGAGAAGTATAAATATAATGTGATGATAATAAATTAAAGCCAACTGATGATTTTCCATCAGCTAGAGTTAACTTTCATTATCTTCATTAAAATTATCAATCCACATAAAATTAATTGTCAGACTTGGGAACTTAAAATTCTTCATAACAATTACCTTTAATATATAGATCCCCATAAAAGTTAGAAAATGAAATTAATTTTGATTAAATGACTGAATAAATACTCAATAAAGTTATATTAGAATTAGATAAAAGAAATACAGAAACTAATCAATCTTAATAACAATAACCTGTTTCTAAGTCACTTTCTAGTTAAAAAATGAACAATTTATCAATTAATAATTAAACTGTTTCATTAACTGTTATACCTCAACCAAAAAATGATGACGATGATTCTTTTCTGAAATTCATGTAAATATATTACACATTAATTTTTTTAGTTAAATGAGCCTTGTTAATAAAAATAAAATTTATTATGAAGAACAAGAAAATTAACCACCATAAAAAAGTCCTGTACAGTATTTCTCAAATATTCCTAAAACAAGAGAATAACATTCAAAATCATCAATTAGTAAATCCCTTTTTTCAGAATCTCTCAATTAGAATAGTATATATATAAAATATTATCAATAGAAGTAATTAAGACTAAAAACAATACTAATACAAAATCAAATGCTCATTAAAGATTATATTAAGATGCTTGTATGAGATAAGAGAGAAAGACTATGGCTGCAAATAGAAAACCTAGATACTGAAATCATATTATAAGATTACTATATCAATTATTATATAATGTTCTATTCTTTTGATTAAACAATCTTAACAACAAATATTAATTTTATTGATGTCCTAAAATTTAAAGTTTGCCATCTAAAAATTTTATAACAAACATTTGGGTTTTCCGTTTATTTAACAAAACAATCAAAAAATTAGACTGTTTTATATCAACAAAATCATATTTATTTAATTATCATAGATTTTGTTAAAAACCTATATATTATAAATTTCCATGACCCTCATAAATCCAAATCTTATTAAATTGATATCTATTCATTATCTATTTTCTTAAATATCCTTATTTGGCGATAAGAAATTAGAAATTAAATAATTATAGTAAAAAGTAAAAAGGAAATATTAATGCCAAATGTTATAATGTATTATTTACTAAGATAGCATTTTTATTTGAGCGAATGGACAAATTCTAAAAGAGATGATAGAAATTTCATTAGAAATGAAGTGTAAAAAACATTTAAATAAAATCATATGATATTCTCCATTTAAGATCTAACAGATTTAATGTATAAAGGATTTTCAAGTTATTATTTTCTATTGGCTGATTATTATCTTTTTAATGGATATTATTATTATTTTAAGTGTTAGATTTTCATTTATTTATTATCATTATTGTCAAAATGTTTTTAACTAACTTATTTAGGTCTAGTTTAGAATTGTTTTCCTATAGGAGGTAATTTATGATTTTAATAATTATATTAATCTTCTTTTTAAATAATCCATTTTTTAGTTTCATTTAAATGCAAATTCTTTTCTTCCTAAGTAAGATTATTAAATAATCCAATATATTGAGGTTGATTATCAATTGGACATAAATAATAATGTTCTTTCATTCGATGAATACAACTTTCATCTGCAATATGACCACATGATAATAATCTAAGTTATTTTTACTTATAACAAAAGGAACATTTACTTTATTTTTAGAATCCAGTACCAATTAACATTAAACCTCCAGTTTCCTAATTTCCAGCATTTAAATTTTCAGGAAATAAATACATTAATGAATCTATTGTAATATTTACATCAAATTAATATTTTTCTAATCTTGTATATTTAAACATAAAGATGTGTTATTAATGAGTCTTCTTATTATGACATTTATCACATAAATGGTAATTTGGACATGATATACATGTAAATATTGTACCAATTATAGGTGTTATTTTACAATAACTACATATTTTATTGTGAGTCTTATGTAGATTTTCAAATACTTTCTCTTCTTATCTTATTTCAATTAATGCAGTATCACCCCAATCAACTCTACACATTGGACAATTAATCTTTTTACCTGCTGTTTATTTTTACATTACCCACACTTTCATACATTTAGCATGAAAATTATTTCCACATTATTTTTTACAATGTACTAATGCTTCATTACAAACCAAACTTTCTTAACAAATTGGACACATATCATCTTCTGTTATTTATTATCGATTTTATTACTAATCTTCAGAATTATTATTTTATGATACTTATTGTTATTATCTAATTACACTTATTTATTGTCTTGTTTTAGTTTATTATGATTTTGTTTTATATTATCCATTTAAAATATTTGTGATATCATATTGAGAAAATTATTATTACCAAAGAATTGGACATTTTTCATCAACTTGAAAAACCTTTAACAATGCATGAATTGTATGAATGCAATGTTAATTATTTTAATTACATGAACATATCATATTACTTGATAATTCTACTTTAAATTTATTTCCATCTTCATCACAATACTTTAAACTTGTTGGTCCTATTCTCTTTAATAAATATAATCTAGTTTATTTAGCTTACTCTATTAAATCTAAAATTATCTAAGGAGCACTAAATAATCTATAAATTATTTACTTTTTAGATGTTTTTACTTTTGTTTTACTTTTCATTTTTTATATAATATAATTGAATTAGAATTCATTTATTTTTATAAAGATAACTGAATTATATATTTTTATACTTTTTAATTTATCAATACAAATTTCTTTAATATATAAAAAGCTATTCTTTTTTTATTGATGTTCTTCTTAGATACAATAATTATAATATTAATATTTATAGAATAATTTATTATGTCTTGGCCTACTGATATTTTTCGATTAGTAGTAATTCTCTAATATAAAGTAGTTTAGAGGATATTGCACTGGAAAAATATTTTACTCATGAATTAGATATGATAATTGAATCTTTAAATTAACAAAGACTGTTGTAGGTTTTATATTAAATTAGAATTAAAAATACTAGATTTTGAATATTATTTTATAATATGGATTTACCAAATTATTTTTATGAAGTTTGAAACAAAATATATCTATAATGGAAAATTTGTTACAATTGCTAGAGAATTTACATACCGACTTTTAAATTTTTAGTAAGATTTTATTATATTATCTTATCTGTTAACCTAACAGGCAAAGAGAATTTTATTAAATTGTTTAATGAAGGTGAATATACTTTTTTTGGTTTTTATAAAACATTATTTGCTTTTCTAGCTGCTATTAATTTGTTTGAGGTGGGTATAAAATGTTTACTTCATAAATGTAGAAAATAAAGTATAAATTACTAAATTTCAGGATTAAGTCAGTATTTTCTTAAATTTTGTTTACAAGGAGGTTAAATTGAAATAATTATAATTTTTATTTTATATCTGTCTTTTAAAGAAATATATGAGTATAGTTCATTTTATTAAGTTATTCTTCTTATTCTTATGATTGCAGAATTAATAATCCAAATCCCTACTGCTTATTATTGTTAATTTCGATATGGCTTATAAAAAATTTATTAATGATTTTTTTCAACTAAATCTCTTTTTTATAAACCTTCCATAAAATAAACTATTTAATTCAATAGAATGATATTTATGTCGAAAAAGAAATGTTTATAGCTGCTACAAAAAAACAATTAAGAATGAAAAAATGGTTTTGCATCATAATAGGATTTACTTATGGATTATTTAATTTCATATATATCTATCTGTCCTTCCTAAAAAAAATAAAATTTTGGTAAATTCTTTCTAGCAAATATAATTATAGAATGTGAAATTGTTGATTATAGAGAATAATAATAATAATAGTTAAATCTAATCATTTAAATATGATTTTATTAATTATTTAGAATTTAACATTAATTAATCTAATATTAATTAATCTAATATTAATGTAATAAAATAAATTGCATACATTTTTTATAGTTATAAAAAATAGTTCAAAATAAATTCAGGACTTTGATTAGATAGAAAGAACTTAAAAGTTAGAAATAATATTAATATTATGAAAGAAGACGATTCTATATTATCTTAAAAAAAGATAGATGAATTAGTTAAGGATCAAAAATATGCTGCACTTATCTAGATGATATCTAGAAAAGATTCTAGTAGGTAAAATATAATATATATATTAATATTAGAATAAAACAATACAACTCTATAAAAATATAGAATTAAATTTTCAGATTGAATTAAGATGTAGCTGTTTGTGCTAATAATAATGATGTATATTCTGGGAAATTAATAAAAATATATTGCATAAAAGATAAGAATAATCAATATATTCCTGTAATTTAAGTTTAATGGTATTTATATATATATTATTTATAGGTACTATACAAAGTAAGATCTAAATTTAGATAAAAAATAAATGAAATGTATTTCAATAAAAGAATTATTCTTTTCTACTCATGTGGAATATTTGGCATCAAATAAATTATAATGTCCTATAGAAGTGATGACATTTGATTAATACACATAATTAGAATATGAAGAAGAAACTAAATTCTTTAGTAGAGCAGCTATAGATCTTAAAACAATGGAACCTATGCCAGCTTTTGGTGAATGGCCAAAATCATGTGTTTGTAGAATGCCTTAAAACCCAGATATACAAATGATTCAATGTGAAACATGTGGAGAATGGTTTCATTTAGATTGTGTTAATATACAACCAGAAGAAGCAGAATAAATTGAACATTATAAATGTCCAGGATGTTAATGAGATCTTTGTTATTTTTAATATGATAAATAATTCATTAAGATTAAGAATCCTTTATATCATTACTCTAAATATCAAAATAATATCCTTTTCTATTGAATTCTCCCATATTAAATAATCATTATCATTTTATTTTAAATTATCAAGTTAAAATTTGGGTTTAATTTATTTATAATTTCATAGTTATTCTTAGATTATAATGTCTAATTTGTTAGAATTATGCAATTTTAATTCTAATTTTTGGATTTAATTCTGAAATATAGTTTCTACTTATGTTATAAATGTTTCTACTCCATCTGTTTTATTAAAATAGGATATTTATTTTTTTAACATAATAAAAACTTAAATACATAAATGAAAAAAAATAAAATAACAAAAAATGATATTTAGATATTGTTTTTAAGTTATAATTATATATATTTTAAGGTGATCATTTAATATAAAAGTTTTCTTCATCTCCTTTTTTCATTTGAGAATTGCCCATTTTAGATGAATTCATTCTAGACTATTACATAATAGATTGATTCTTTTAAGTTTTATCAAGTCTAGTAATTTCCTAGTTTTATTAACTAGTTAATTCTTTTCTAACATTTTAATATTTTTAAAGTAGTCTATGATATTATGAATTAATAATACTTTTCTAATTCTTAAGATCTAATTTTTCTTTATTCTTCTTATCCAGATAAGATTCTTTGTTATAGAGCACCTAATTCATTAGATTATTTGAATTTAAGTTAAGCGATTAGATTTTTAATTTTGATCATTCTTGATGCATTCCATTTTTCATATTCATCTCTTTCCATGGCAAGTATTCTTTATTAAGTTAGATGAGCCTCTTAATAACTGAATATATGATAAAATTGAATACTTTTCTTATCTAGCTAATGATTCTTCAGTTTTTCTCATACTAAGTAATTCAGCAGAGTCTTTAGGTTTTACAGGAATAGAATTTTCTAATTCATCTGTAAATTGTTTTAATTCTTCCTCTTGTCTTTATAACACTTATTCTTTAACCCTTTGAGCTTCTTAATCAAATTCAGCCATTTTTTAATCCCAAAATTCGTTAAATTGATTAAATTCATCAAGATGAGCTTTTTCAATTTCTTATTTTTCATTAGTATGTCTATCCTTGACTTCATATTTATTTTTTGAATCCAATTCTTTTTTTAACTCAGCAAGTCTTTTCTTGGCTTGATCAGCTTCTAAATATTTTCCAGCTTTTTCACAGCTCTTTTAATGTTCATACAAAATTTAGCTATAATAAATTTAGTATAATACACATATTCTTCTATATCTCCTGTTTAAACTGGAAGATTGTTTGTTCCTTTTCTAGCACTTGATCTTGAGTTATTCATAATTTTTATTTATCTGTTAATTAATATTGATAAAATGGTTATAAATGTATTTGTTAAGTATATATTTTAAATATCTGTTATAATAACAATGTAATATAGCATAAGTTAATCGTCATTAATATAATCTCCATATGGTTAGATAATAAGAAAAACACCAATAACTAGATAGAATAGAGCATAAGAGAAAATGAATGATTAATCAATGATGTCTCAATATCAATCTCCAACATTAAGATAGGCTATGTCACCAAAAGCAGCTAGAGAATACTTAAATAGTTTAAAAAGCTTTATAAATCAATATGAAACAAAACCTATAAATGAAAGTAGAATTGTTACTAAAAGAAGTATTTAACCAATCTAATAACCACCTTATTTATACTTTCCAATTGCTAATAGATTGAATGATGATATAAAATTGATGACTCCTTAAAGAATTGAAGTAAAAAAATTAAATTCAGATGGAACTGTGCATTCGTTAAAGTATTATTACTTGAAGTAAGCAGTTTTAAGCAGTTCGAATGATGTTCTAACATCAAATTAAATTACTATTGTTGGATTGAAACATAGTGGGAAATAAAAATTATTTATAGAACTAATAAATAAAATGATGCCTAAATCTTTTAAGTTAAATATAAAAACAGATCAAATTGATAAATAACTAAATGTTTAAGTAACTGATGATCTAAAATCAACAATAAAAAGTTTAAAAGCAGGATCTAAGAATTGTTAATTAATTGCATAAAGTGATTAACATCTTCTGATTTGTAAAGGATAACATGGTTTCATAAGAGATAAGAAAGATTAAGCCATTCTAATTTTATGTATAAAGCCTGGAAAACAAATTAAATAGGATTGTGTCTAAACTCTTAAATTGATAGTAAATTTATAAAATAATTGATCATATATGTAATATTTATTTCAATATAAATGGGTACTTGCTAAGTTAAATATTGTAGATGTACATGTTAATAAGGTAGAATGGCTTGTTAATGTGGTAGTGAAAATACTTTAATATTGGAGGAATAATCAAGAGAAATTAGAAGAAGAATTACTTAAGATTAAATAGTAAAAAATAAAATGTCTATAATTATAGAGGAGATCTAATCGTTTTGAAAATAATAAAAATAGAGATGTATCTCCACCTTAATCTAATTCAAGTGGTTCTTTGAATAAAACCAAATTCTCAACTTATCACAAAGTTTCAAACATTTCTCCTAATTCAATAGAAAAATACTTAATGTCTTAAGAATGTAATATCTCTACAGAACCTAGTTATTAAAAAAAGAATCATAAATAAAAAATAAGAAATCAAAAATTTTAGATCGGATATATTTATTTTACAAAAGATAATTATGACTTAAAATTCTAGGATGTCACTGAAAAATTACATAATATTAATCATAATAAAATAGAATCTCCTTGTTTCTAAAATTCTAAAAAGATATATGAAAATAAATAAAGTTTAGAATAAATTCAGTCAATCAAAGATCCTAATATCTCTATGAATACACCTACTAATACTGCTATGGAAATTACAAATAATCAAACTATTTCTAATCCATAATTAAATTAATAACCTTCAATCTCTAAAGAAAGTTCACCTACTAAAATCTCTCATCCTATAACATAAATTAGTATTGAGCCAAATTCAAATAAATTATCCTTATCTGTAATTACAGATTAACAATAATTATAAAATAGATCAAGAACTGCTGATCTTTTTGATGACTAAAAAAGTGTCACTCTTAGAAGTGTATTAAAAAATAAATAAAAAAATAATGATTCATTCAGAACTTAATAATAAGAATCTAGAAAAGTTAGATTCGATTTACCTAATTCACATTATATAAGAGAAAGATAAAGATAGTAACCTAAACTCTTTTAATAATATTTTTAATTTTAATGATTAAAATGTATATAACTAAAAATGAATTTCATTATTTTCTTTCTAATTTCTTCTTGTACATTAAAAAACCTTAATTTAAATGTATAAATTACTTATTTTATTTTATTACATTTTTTTTGGAGTCACTACATTATTTCTAAAACTACAAAAATGTATATCACGTTCATCCTAATAGCTGCTTTTGCTTCTCTAAGAATCCTAAAATTAATAAAATTTCTTATATTACCAAATCTGTGAATTCAGTTCTTAATTACATACTTTATATATCTATATTTGATAATCCACCAATTGTTTTTATTTATTTACTAGTCTCTATTTTTATAACACTATCGTCTTCTTCCATAGTTCTTTGAGTACCTTGAGTTTAAGAATATTTTTTTTTAATGATCTTAATTTTTTTCAAAGATCCAAATATTTTATTTAATTAATCTTGTGGTTTTTCAAATTCTTTACTTTCAAAAGCTTAAATAGCTATTGATTTTGTTTGATTCAAAAATCTTGATTTTCTAACAGAATCAACATCAACTAAGAGTTCATCAGTTTAAAAAAAATTGTTTACATATTACTTGGAAGATTCTCCATTATTAATTTTAATATCCAGTTATTCTTTTTTTGATTCCTATTTTTCAGATTCTTATTAAGAATTTACAAAACGGAAATTTAATCCTGAATTTTATAATGGTTCTTTCTCATCACTTTCATATCTATTTTCAAATTCAGGTGTAGGTTATTTAACATTATATGGATTTTATTTAAAATTTTAAGGGCTTTTTGTTTCAATATGATTTTTTTAAAGTTAAGAATTTATGTTAGTATTTTATAAATTATTATTTTCTTTTCCTTTAGTTTTATTTGAAATTAGAGTATATTTATTTTGTGGAGAGTTTATAATAGTTTAATGCTAATTTAGAGATAAATCTTAGCATTTAAATTGTCTCAAATATTTTTGGTCATTTGGACTACTTTATGGATTTGAATCAAATTATTTTCTTATTTAAGGGGATTTACTATTGCATTAATGTTAGTAGATTGAAAACACTTTTTTTGTTTAGTATTGAGATAAGTAATTAGAGAATTGATTCATAGTTTTTAACGTTAATATTATTTATAAATTAATCAAAGAATATCGAGAATTGCGTAAAATTTGTAATAAAATTGGTAAATTGATAGAAATATTTTTAATTAGTAATGGATCATTATTTTTATCCTTTAATTTTAACCGATTACATTCTTCGTCTTTATAATCGTATTTGGACTTAATCTTCTTATTCTTAAAGAGCTCTATCATAAATATATAAAAATGTACTTATTATGCATTCTTGTTACTCTCTATGATTCATAGCCATGAAATTCTATTAGTTGATTTACTTATAACTTTTAATCTTATTCTTTGATATATTTGAGTTGATTTTCTAATTCTTATTATTTTTAGGATTTTTAAGGAATGATAACTTTTGGAGATGGAGGAAGTAGAATATCATTTCTTTGAATATGTTTAGATTTCTTTAAAGCTGTTTCATGTTTTAATTCTTCATATGCAACATTCATGCATTAATTAACAGTACCTTTCATCAATAATTATTGAGTTTTATTTTTGAAAATCAAAAATTTATTACTTTTTATAGATTCGAAATATTCTACTCCAATCTAGATAAGTGTTAAAATATTACTCTATACAACTCTAATAATTAATTGACAACTTCAATTGTGACATTATTACATTCTACTTCCATTTCTAAATATAAAATATTTTCAGCAAAGAATGGTGGTAAACAGTTTGAATGCTCCCAAAATAAGGATTTTCCATTTTCTTAATGATCATTTCTTGTATTCATATAATTTATAGAAATTAATAAAATTTTGATTGTTATTTTATATTCAATGTATTCTACAAACTCTAAGTATTACTATTTTATTTTTAAATTAAATCATATCAACATATTATCCTTAAATAAATTAAATATTTCATATCTTATTTTATTATACTTAATATTGCATTTTTTCAAATGGAATTTCTTTAAAGATATATTCTAATATTTGATTGGAATCTTTAGATTTCTATAATCTCAGCAAAGACATTACATGAGAATATTTAAAACATATTTGTTAATAATTAAGATACTAAAATTTATTTTCACAATATTTTTTTAGATTATAAAATATATCTTATTTTAAATATTATTTATAAAGACCTTAGATTTCCTTTTTTTTTTTGGATTGTTACTAAAAAAAGAGATAAATAACAAAGAAAATTTATAATTTAATTTTAGTTATTTATTAAGGTATATGTTTTAAATTAAATAAATTTTAAGTTAGATTGAATAGAATTTCTTCTAGTAATTAGATTTTAGCAAATATTGAAAAAAAATGAATATTATTTTTTTAATATATAAAATTATTATTATAATAAATATTAGTATAATGTAAATGATTAAATATTAATAAATACTAAATTCAGAGATTTAATATAGAGATATAATGAGATTTAATAATGATTGATATGTATTAAAATGTAAGAAGATGGAAATTGGATAATAGAATAAATTAAAATTAGAAAGAGTTAGTTAAATAGTGGTAAATAAAATTAGTTAGATGATATATAAATAATAAAAAATCTTATTATATATAAAACAGTTAATTTAGTATGATATGTAATAATTAAAAATGAAAACAATAAAGGTATTGAGTATAATAATCTTGTTTGAAGTATTGGTGTCTTGTTAATACATTTCATTAGGAGATTAATGTAAATGCCAAGATCTTTCAACGGAATTGGATTGTAATTTAAGAGGAATGTGTAGATGGAATTCAGTGTAAATGAATTGTTTTGAGTCTAATACATATAAATCTACAATAGTTTCAACAAGTGCGAACAAGAAAATAGAAATAAAATCAAGTTCAATATATTGTGATCATTTTAATCAAATAGAATGTCCAAATTAAATAGGATGTGCATGGGTTGATAATATGTGTATTATGTTCACAGGATGTAGTTCATATGTGAAAAATACAGATGAGGATTGTAGAAAGATTTCATAAACCTGTTTTTCGGATGGGATAAGATGTGTTGAATTAGATGAATGCAATACATATACATATTAAAAATCATGTGTTATAAGTAAGAAAGGTAAATATTGTATATGGAATACTTAAAATAGAGGATGTGAATAAGTAAAGAATTGTAGTGATCTTCCAAAAGAATTGATAAGTGATAAAGAGTGTAGAACATAACTTCAATTTTGTAATATATAAATTTGATAATTACTTAGGTACAACTAAATTAGGTGGAGGATGTATTGAATCAAGAAGTTGTTCTGAAGCATAAAGTGCTGTATCTTGTGTGAGTGATAGATAATAAAGTATTGATTGTTTTTGGGCTGAAGGAAAGTGTAGAGATAAAACATGTGAAAATGCATTGATATCTTTTAAGACAGATCAATAATGTAAAGAATTCTTACCACATTGTACAACTAAACCAAATGGAGGTTGTACATTAAGATTAAGTTGTCATGATGCATAAATAGAAGATGCTTGTATTAAAGATTCTAGTGGTAATGATTGCTTCTGGACTGGAAGTTAATGTAAAGAAAAATTATGTGAAAATGCTCCATCTTCTTATACTACTAATTAATAATGTTAAACTATATCTATTAATTGTATATCTAATGGATAAGGATGTACAATTAATCATGGATGTTCATCAGCTTTAAAAGAAGAATTTTGTTATCAAGATGATTAAGGAAATCCTTGTTTTTGGAATGGAATCTTTTGTGTCTAAAAAAAATGTGAAGATTAAAATCTATAAGGAGATTAATTATGTTCTGATTTTATGAGTACATGTATTGCTAAACCTGATGAATAAATTGGATGTATTACTAAAACATGTGAAACTGCATCTATTCACATTAATACTAATCAATTATGTGAAAATTATTTACCTAATTCTAATTGTATTACAAAAAAATCAGGTGGTTGTAAAATTAATACTTATTGTAATTCTATTGATTTAGAAGAAGCATGTATTCAAGATTCTCAAGGAAATAAATGTTATTGGAATTAAGTTGATTAAAAATGTTTATAAATTACTACATGTTCACTAATTAATAATTAATCTAAATGTATAACTGATTAATTTGGAATACCATGTTAATGGGTTGATTAATTTATCAATAATCTTAAAGAATAATGTGTAACTAAATCATGTTCATCAGCCCCACTTTATATGAAATCTGAAAAAGAATGTAATGAATATTACAAATCAGATAGTGTTCAATGCACTTTAAAAAAAGGTGGAGGTTGTAGATAAAAAACTCTTTGTGAAAATGTAGATTTAATTGATGCTTGTACCACAGATAAAGATGGTAATAATTGTGTTTGGGATCAAAAGACATCCTAATGTAGATAGGAAAATTGTTCAGATTTTACAGAATTGTCATATTTTGGATGCTCTTCTAAAAAGGCTAATTGTACTATTGGTTAAAATGGTAAATGTGTTGAATTACAAGAATGTTCATCATATTTTAATAAAATATCATGCGTAAGAGGAACTGATGGAATATGTTTATGGATAGAAGACTATAAAGATGGGAAGGGAGCATGTTTCTAATTTGATTCTTGTTAAAGTCTCAAATGGAAAACTGATGCTGAATGTAAATTAGCATCAAATAGTTGTACTACGGATGGATAATAATGTGTTCCTATTACTGAATGTAGAAGTACAAATGTAAATGGAGGGTGTGTCACAGGTACTGATGGAGAATGTATACAATCTGTCGCTTAATTGAATTCCAATTAACCTAAGACATGTTCTAAATTCATAAACTGTAGTACTGCATATTATTTAACACATGAAGAATGTTAGGAAGCTCATCCATTTTGTACAACAAATGGTGAAACAGGATGTAGAGATATAACATCTTGTGGATATTACTAAGTTAAAGAGTCTTGTAATATTAATAATTAAGGTTAATTCAAAGATGAAAACGGTTCTATAATTTCAACTGGTAAATGTACATGGGATGAATAAGATTAAAATTGTAGAGATTAGATATGTTCAGATCTTATATTTAAGTCAGAAGAAGAATGTTCAGAAATATTAACAAATTGCACTTCAGATGGATAAAGATGTGTAGAAAAACAGAGTTGTTAATTGTACATGGATGAAAGCATTTGTAATTCAAGGAAAGGAACTGATGGACCTTGTTATTGGAATGAGGGCAAATGTCGTATAAAAAAATGTTAAGAAATAGTATTAACAGTTAACAAAAATGAATGCAATTAAGTAAAAGATTGTATATCAGATGGAGATAAATGTATAGTAAAAGAGAAATGTGAAAAATATGTTACAAAGGCAAGTTGTAATAATTCAGGATTGGATGGTATTTGTATTTGGAATGACAATTTAAGAATATGTTCACTTATGAAGAATTCTTGTAATGAAGCAAATAATGATGAAATAGCTTGCAAATAAGCAAATGATAGATGTCTATGGGATTCCTTAAATTCTTAGAATCAATGTTCTGAACATACTTGCATGTCTTATTTCCTTTAGATGGGTTAATGTTAGTATTTCAAAACTTGGCATAATGATAAATATCATATTTGCAAAATGATTTAAGGTAAATGTTCTTAAATGGATGCAACAACTTTAACTGCTGAAGAATGTTATAGTTATTCATTATATACATATTCTTGGAATCCTCTAAGCAATAGATGCATGTAGTGTTCAAGAATATTAGATAATGGATCAAATAATACCAATTTGACAAATACAAATTAAACCATATATTAATATGTTTTAGGAACCATAACAGGATTCTTTGCATTTGTAGCAGTTTTATGAAAAGTTATGACTTATAATAATAATGCAAAAAAAATAATATTTAGATCTATAAAAAAATTAATATAATGGGAAGCAGTGCTTCAATTAGAATTAATGAATACTAAAAAATAGAGGCTGATCTTAAATTGACTACTCTTCCTGACTTAGACAAAGTATATCTAAACTTATTACTAGCTTTTAATTGTTGCTGAAGATCTTCTTAAAGTTACTGAGTAACTTAGATCAAGAATTGTATCATATCATGATCTAATGTTAAGAATTGTTAAATTACAATCTTATAAAGATGTTACTTTGATTGATTCATTTAGAATATGGTTTTTATGTACTCTTGTATGTAATGATTCAAAAAAAGACAGTGTTAAATTTCAATGTAAAATTGAGAACTTTGATCAAGAAGTAGCATCAGAAACTCTTAAGAAACTAATGAACTTTGTATTTAACTTCATTTATATTTAGGGTAGTGTAGTGGCATTTGCAATTGAAGACAAATTCGTTTAAGATGAAAATGAGTAACTCATAATTTGTGATACAGGAATATGTGGAGATTTTAAATTACAATTATGGCCTTTCATACTTTCCTCCTTTTTAAGTTATTTAAGATCTGCATGGAAACTGGCTCCATTTTTAGAAGAGAAAATTAATTGCTAAATTAATTTAATAAGGAAATATATTGAAGTACATAAAGCAGAGAAGCCAACTAAATTAATAAATTAATAAACTTTAACTTAAATTTGTGAAAAATTGAAATATTTTGTTTAATTTGTAGACAAATATCATTAAGAAGTCAAAACATTTAATTTATAATACAAATAAATTATGGAAGAATTACATCCTTTAAGCTAAGAAGTTCTGAGAGAAGAAGGCAATCAAAATTATATCTTTAATGATGAGTATATAATAATATATTATAATTATTAGAAGAACTATTTTAAAAACAAAAATATAAGATATAGTAAGAAAATATGCTCCTAATTATGAACTCAAAGAACTTGTTTAAATACAATAAGAAATTAGATTAAAAGAATAAAGAAGAAAAGTTAAACCAAAAACTAAATTAGAAAGGAGAAGAACAGAATAAGCAACTTTAACATTTCCAACTACTTATCATTGGGTTGGTCATGAATATTTTGATACTTTTTTTTCAGCTTAATCATTAACTTTATCTGAATTAGAAGATTGTCGTGCTTAAGGAGAAGAAGCTAGAAAAAAATTATTTAAAATAACTGGCGTTAATTAATGGAAGGATAATACAATTAAAAGTGTATTTGAATGTCTTACTTGGATTTTATCTGCCGAACTTAATAAAAATCTTAAAAATTAAGAACTCAAATTACTTGAAGATGAACCTTGGCTTCATTTTATCAAACATAATAAACATAAATTTACTGATCTTTCTGATCAAATTATTATTAATTTAAAAATATGGTTGAAATATTTTAGTCCAAAAAGATACTAGAGGATTTGCAATTATTAGTATATTATCTAATTTAATCATTAAGTTAAGATTTTTTAAAAAGATAAACAGAACTTGAAAATAAAAAATTCAATTTTCATCATCTGATTAGAGATCTTTCTCCTTAAAATTAATACAATGCACTTTCTAGTTTCACTAAAAATATTCGAATAAATGAAACTTATATTAGTAAAATTGAAAAACTCTTTGAAATGACTATTCAAAATAATGGTACCATGGGAATAGAATTATATGAAAATTGGTAAGAAATAGTTGATCAAGCTGATTCAATTAAATATTAATTAGGAACTCCATTAAATGAATTCATTAAAGAATTTAGACCTAATACTTTAGCTGAATTGGATCATATATAAAATAGAAAGGCTGAAAGAAAATAAACTAAGTTATCTATTGCCTATATTGAAATTTGAATTCAATTAATATTCTATCTTATTCATTGTAATAAATTCAAAATCTTATCAAATTTATAATCAGTTATTTTTTTATTATAATTTATAATCTAAAATTAAATAATCTTTTATATAATATAATTATTGTTCATAAAACTTAACATTTCAAAATCTTTTTATTTTTTTTAAAGTTTCATTTAAATAAATATGAAGGAAATTGTAAGATAATTATCTTCTTTAAAAATAAAGATAATAAATTTAAAAGTTATATTACTTTTATTATAATTTTGCTATTTTTCTAGTAAAAAAATAGTTTTATCAATTCTTCACAAATATTAATTTATAGAATAATTAAAATATTTTATATTTCTGAATTGTAATTTAAATGCTAACTAAATCAGGTTTTAAAGGGATTTGTACAATTATACAAAAAGTTTAAAGAAATTCTTTAAATAATCTTTTAAATTCTTTTCTACCCAGAAAAAAGTTTATTAATATTAGAAATTTGTTATTTTGCAATATGTTTTTATAATTTAGATTATATTCCTAATATTTTATTATTTTTACTCCTGACGAAATTAATATAACTAGAATTAGGTTTATAAATTAGAATAAAAATATATAAAATATATTTGTTCATAATATTAAAGTTAAATTTTTAATTTGATTCTTTTAAGTGAATCCAGATTTATATCATAATTAGTTTAGTAAATAAAAATTCATATGTTTTTAAATGTATCAAACTCTAAAATTGGTTTTCTTATTCTCTTTTTAAATGGGAGCGTTTTTTTCTATTGAAGGTCTTGGATTATTTATATTCATTTTTCTTAACATTTATGTATAATAGTTTTTCAATTAAGGAGTTGATAATTCAACAATACTTTTATTGTTTAATTATTATTTTTTTGGTGTTGTGCTTCTTGAAGGTGTTTTGTTTTCATTACCTTTAGAATATCCTGAACTTTATGATTTTGTATCTATAGATACATTTTTTGAATGACCAGATTATTCTTTACTTTTTTATAATGTCTTATAATGTTGTAAACAAAATTATAGAACTTTTTAATCTTTATTAGTAGTTGTTTATAGATTGAAAAATACCATTTTGAATATTTCTATAATCTCCTCTAACTTAATATCCTGAGAAACAAATATATTTTGTAAATAATGATAATGTACACATACATAGAAGAGGCTTTTCAATTATTCAGAAAATTTATCTGATCGTTAGCAAATTTCTTCTATGTTGTGTAATTCATCTAGTTAATTTTGATACTTTTCTTTTTGTTTTTATTTTAACTCATAATTTATCCCTTTAAATTACTATAAACTTGCCAACTACTTTTAATAGTACATTATTTTGCTTTATATTTATTTCAGATATTCATTCTCATTCTTTTCCATTTTTATTTTCACAACTGCTTCTAAAGTATCTTTATTAATTTCGATATCATGTGTAATTAGAAACTATTATAATTTCTTTTTATTGTTTTTTGTCTATTCAGAAAGTATAATCAATTTATTATAATTCATAATATATTAAAATAATCAATTAGAATATCAACTTTTTAATCTTATTCTTCTCCAAACATTTTTTTCTTATCAATTTATTCATACTTTATCAACAATAGCACATCTTTAACATTATTTTTCTTTATTTATTTTCATTATATTGATGAATTTCATTTGAAAATTATCATAAGTTTAAACTAAACCAAATATAAAGAAACTAACTAATTAAAAGTATATTAAAATATAATACATTTTAATCTAATTAATTGGTGTTATTTTTGTAATAAATAACTAAATTCTGAGTAGAACAGAAAAATGGATTTTTTTTTGCTTTAAAACATTTTTCCGAATAATATTTTCTATGTATATTAATTGAATGTTTTGAAGGATATTTCTAAATTATGTTTACTATATCAAATACTTTTCGTTTATATTTTTAATAAGTTTATAAAATACTTTTTCTCAATCCATTTAATTTTTTTAGATTAAAAATAATGTTTGAATTTTAAACAAAAAAATTAAATTTGTAGAAAATCTTATGTAATCATCAATAAATAAAATTAATTAGTTTATTTAATTAAATCCATTTTCGGTTGAATTTGATTATTTTATTAAATATTAAATATGTTTAGAATAATAACTTCGTTTTTAGTTTTAACATAAGTTACAACCTAATAAGTTGTATTACATTCTAGCTCTTTCACAGATAAAAAATTTACTAGCTTAGAAGGTTTCTACCTACATTATAATAGACTGGACTATATATCCTGAGAATCCACTAAAGATTGGATATGGCTCAGTATCAATTGATGATGAAGATTATGCTGGTTTAAGATCAGTAGTAGGTAGAAGAGTCAGATTAGGTGGATTGGATGCAATATTTAAGACTTTTGATAATATTCAGCCTCATTCTTCCTTAATTATTAAAGGAAAAATATTGATGTTTTATCATTGTTTGAACTTAGGTTTAATTTTGGTTAAGGAGGGACAGCTGTAGCAGAAATCAAAGCTGATGGAGCATCGATTTTATTAATAGATGGAACATTTATTTAGACTGACATCTAAAAGTAATTTAGTTTTGAAGCAAACTTTTAACATTCAACATCTTCCGTTTTAATTACATTTAATACTTATGCAAATAGAGATTTTGAAGTTAAATATATTAATTAGACTATTAGAGATTGACTATTGGATTTCGAGAATTTGAATTATATTACCGAAAATGTCCGGAGGGTTGTGCATACTGTTAGATTTAAGATAAAAGTCCAAGTGATTGCAATTTTTGGATTATGGATCATAGTTCTTTATCTGATAATAATTAATTAAATGATGGTTGGTCAATTAATTCAAATTAATATTCTATGGATTATTGCTAAAGTTTTTATTTAATTATTCAATTTAGATGATAAGAAATTAAATCTATTTGGATTTGCAAAATCAAAGGAATCAATAGAAAAAACTTTTTTTCTTTAACCTCATTATAAAATATTAATTTAATTTAAACATATATTATTAGGAGCAGATTTTAGTGCACTTACCTTCTGGAATTTAGAATTAGATGGTACAATTGTAATGGAAATAACTTATCTCACATATTTATTGAATACATAGATATGTTCATTTCATAATCCAGCAAGTTATGGTGATAATATAAGAGAAATTAAATATTCTAGATCCCATTAAAATACAACTATGAAAATTAGACTTTTTGCAGCAGGAACTTCTACATTAAAAGTATCAAGATGGTCTATTAGAAATTTTAATATTTTTATTTAAAAATGTCATCCTGATTGTGAAGAATCCTGTAATGGACCTAAAAATACTTAATGTTCGAAAGTTCAATATTAAAAATACAATGAATTTATAAATTATTTTACTGAACCATTATTTACTGATATAATTAAATGGTAAATAATAAATCCAATTATGCCAAAAACACCTAATATATGTGGTGGAATATCATTATTTGGCGGATATTTATAATTAGATGGAAAACATTATATTTAGAGATTAGTAGCATTAAATGTTCACAAAACACTTTAAATATAATTTAAATTTTATTAAATTGACATTTTTAACAATGATATTTTATATGTTGTTGTTGATGATCAAATAATCTATTAAACAACTTTAGAACCTGTCTTTGATAAATCTAAAGCTAATCCTATGTGTGGTATATTTGATGATTTTGAAATTGTACTTAAAATCTCCACTCCAGTATTCTAACATACAAAGAAATAATCTATAATCTAAATCTATACTAATTAACCTATTTCATCATCAGGTTATTGGGGAATTAGAGATTTTATATTACTATAAGATTCTAAGACTTTTATATCTGAATTTAGAGAAGCAAGATTTTAGATATCAGATTGGTTAAATTTTTAATGGAAAATCACTGAAAAACTATCCTTAATTGGAACCTGTAAAAATCTTAATTATATTGGTGGAGATAATGGTTTAAGTTAAAATTCAAAACTAAGAAATTTAATAGAAAATTTACCTCTTCATTCAAAAATTAGGATCTAATTTACCTTAATTATTAAATACACAACTATAACCAATGATTTCATTTAATTTATTTATTCTGTAGACGATAATCCATTATATACCAAAAAGAATATTAAATTAATAGCTGATTAATATTGTGAAACTAGTTTACAAAATAGTAAAGCCTTTACTTTTGATGAAGTTTTTAGTCACAATGATAACAGTCTACTATTGTTTATGTGGATGGAAAATCTAACTAATGATAGTTTTTGGGGTATAAGAGACTTTTATCTTTCATATTCTGAATTATGATTAAAATATTATGATTATAATAAACCTCGATATCAAAATAATTTTTGTTTATTTCATAATTTATATCATTTATATAAATCCAATTTTCTTTTAACTCGTTTTTGTTTTATTTTTTAAAAAACTAAATAACAATTAAATTATTTAAATATATCAATAAATTCATATAGAGATTTTTTAAATTGATATTTTTAATTAAAAATGTGTTTACAACTTATGTCACTTTTTAGAATGGAGATAAAAATTCATTATGTTTTAGAATTTAAACTTTTATATAAAAGAAATGCTTAAAGAGTATTTTTATTAATTTTAATATCACTTAATCAAGTTAATTTAAAATATTAAGTTAACCGCGGTTTCAACAAAAAATTAATCCATTCAAATATATTCTAAAACTAACTTTATTCTATGAATGGTTAATTTTATTAAATCAATAAAAGTCATTTTATTAATTTGATTTGAAAACAAATCCTATAAGAATTTTTATATAATTTAATAATTAATAATTTCATATTTATGATAAATGGTATAAATGAATCTTATATCTTTATTTTGATTTTAAATTATTTATTTTGTTTGTAAAATTGATAAATCAAATGGAAAAATACTAAACAAAAATTTTAAATATTTTAAAATATTTTTGTTTTTTAATTGTAATTTTTTATCTTCATAAAATTTTTGTTTATCAATAAATTTATCTACATTGCAATATACTATAAAATCATAATACTTAACATTTTAGATTTTATCATTTTTACTGAGTATAACATTATCAACAAAAGTAAATAATGATTATTCCTATAAATAATTAAGATTAAGGGTTAATCATATAAATTTTATTACAATCTTAAAAGGATAAGAAGTATATATATTAGAAATGAAAAATTTAATAAATATCCATTTGTAATAATATTGATTAAACTGAATAAAATCGAGTAAAATACAGGTTTGATAAATCACACAAAAATTTAAATTATTATAAATTAGGAAAGTTTTCCATTAGAATATTTTATCAAAATGCATAAAATTATTATTACAGATAATTAAATATTAGTTTTGATTAAAATTTTTAGTCAATTTTCTTTAGTTAGTAGGAATCATATGCTCATTGAAATGATAAAATAATTAAAAGTCATTTTTTCAAAAACTATATTAATTATTTAAGATGTATTTGTATGTTTAATTTATTTTGAATGAATGATGTTCTAAATTAAGGTATATATATATATATTAAATTTTATATAAAATCTTTATTGAAGGATGTAAGATGTAATAATGAAAATAATCTTAAATAGAAAAAAGACCAGAGCTAGTTCAAAAATTTTCTACTTAAATTGAGAGTTTTAATTGATGAATTGTTAAAACCAACTCCAGATCCAGAGGAACAACCAAAACCATAAGTCAGAAGAGCAAAAAAATAAAAAAAACAAAAAGATCCTCTTGCACCAAAAATGCCTAAATCAGCCTTCATTTATTACTTTTAGGACAAGAAGGAGAAATTTTAATTCTAATATCCAAGTGTTTATTAAATGTATAAGTAGATATACAATTTCAAGAGATTACAAAATTGATAGCTAATGAATGGAAAGATTTACCAACAGAAATCAAACAGGTATTTTAACTAAAAAAATAAATAGTTATATCATAATCAAGCTGAATAAGATAGAAATCGCTATTCTTAAGAGTAAGAGTTATATAAATCACAAACAGGGAAACAATCAAATGGGAAAGGTTAAGCTAAAGCTAATAAATCTAGTGTTAAAATAGAGAAAATTATAAAAACTTTAGATTAAGAGGATGACAATGATTCATTTAGTGCAGATATAGATTAAGACTGATATCTATATAAGAATATTTTAAAATAAAATTGATCTAAATATTTGGAGGAAATAGTCAATTTTTATTTAATACTAAAGTGCCTTATAAATTATAAGATATTGTTGTGTTTAAATCAACTTATTTTTTAGTTATTACTTAAACCACTTTATAATTATCATTCCATTATATTATTTTTTGAATTTTAAAAAATCTTTATCAAAATTCAGATGGACGTAAAGATAGGAAGATCGTTTAAATTAACAAAGAAATTGGGTTCAGGTGCTTTTGGAGAAATATTTCATGGAATCAATCTTAAAACAAACATGGAAGTGGCAGTTAAACTTGAGCCTGTTAACACAAAGCATCCACAACTGTTTTATGAAGGAAAATTATACTAATACTTGCTACAAGAACCCTCAGTTATTGATAAAGGAATTCCGAATGTTTACTATTGTGCAACAGAAGGTATTTATTTTTAGTATAATCTAAGGTGAATATAATATCATGGTTATGGATCTCTTAGGACCATCATTAGAAGATCTATTCAACTTATGCGGCAGAAAGTTTTCACTTAAGTCAGTATTAATGTTAGCTGATCAAATGATTTAAAGAATTGAATATGTTCATTCTAGACATTTTTTGCATAGAGATATTAAACCAGACAACTTTCTTATAGGAACAGGAAAAAGGTAAAATATATAAAAAATTTAAATAGAGCTCATAAGGTGTATATTATTGATTTTGGATTAGCAAAGAGATATATTTAAAAGGATGGAAAACATATTCCTTATAAAGAAGGTAAAAATTTAACTGGAACAGCCCGTTATGCCTCTATCAACACTCATTTAGGAATTGAATAAGTAAAAAATGTATTTAAATTTTAGGGAAGAAGAGATGATCTTGAATCATTAGGTTATGTGATGATGTATTTTTTAAGAGGATCCCTTCCATGGTAAAATTTAAAAGCTTCTAATAAAAAAGATAAATATGAAAAGATTATGGAAAAAAAAATTTCTACATCAATCGAAACTTTATGCAAAGGATTTCCATAAGAATTAGCAACTTACTTAACATATGTAAGAAATTTGAGATTTGATGAAAAACCAGATTACAGTTACTTAAGAACTTTATTAAAAGACTTATTTACAAAGAGTGGATTTGAAATGGATTATATTTATGATTGGAATTTAATATAGAAAACAGATGGCGCTCCAGGATAAGCCACAAACAATTCATAACCATAATAGCAAGCAATTGGTTAAGTACCACCAAAATAAGGTTGATTATCAACCTTAAAGATTATTATATAAATATATATATAAAAAAAAATTATAAAAGAAATATTCAAAAACAATCCCTTTTTTCAGGAAGTTAAAATTTTAAGAACATCAATCAATAATTTTAATTAAAGAACTTACTTTAATATACCAATCCAATTTTTGACAGTAAATAACAACCGAATATTTTAATTTTATTATCAAAATTTTCTATTTTATACTTGTTTATTTACAATTTTTAACTTAAATAAAAATTTATTATTAATCTTTAGATATAATTAAATTTAAATCACCTTTTTATTTTATATTACTATCATCATCTTTTTTTATTTTAAATAATTTCTTTTAAATAGATCTCTCATCTGAAAAATGGAAATCTCTTCATTTAATAGTTATATTCTTAAATTAATATTAGATTAATCAGAACTTTATAAAAATTATCATCTGAAACAGAATTATTAAGTTAATTGTATGTAATAAATTATATATAATAATTTTATATTATGCAAGTTAATTAAAGTGAAGAGTTTTATCTCAGATATTAGTATAAATAAATATTTACTTTAGTGTTGGTCATAAAGGTGTTTATGGACATGAATTTCTTGAATTTGAATTTAGAAATGACGGAAGATTGAGATATGCAAACAACTCAAATTACAAATAAGATGTATTAATAAGAAAGGAATGTTTTGTTTCAGAATCAGTTATATCAGAAATTAAACGTATTATAGAAGATTCAGAAATTATCAAGTATCAAAATGCATATAATTTTAGAGAAAATGATTCTAAATGGCCAGCACCTGATAAGATAGGAAGATAAGAATTAGAGATTAAACTTGGAAACAATCATATTTCATTTACAACATCAAAATTAGGATCTATATAAGATGTACAAAACAGTTAAGATCCTGATGGATTAAGAGTATTTTTCTACTTGGTTCAAGATTTAAAATGCTTTGTCTTTTCATTAATTGGTCTCCATTTTAGAGTATTATATTAGTCTAATTTTATTAGATAAAGCCTGTCAATTGAGCATTATTTTATATTATATATAATATAAGTTAATAATTTAAAAAATTATCAGAGATTGTTCACACTTAACAAATCAGCATGACTATACTAAGTCCGCCCGTTACTTTGTCATCACTTTATAATAATTTATATATCTTTTTCAGGTGAATGTTGAATTATAATCATGAGATCATAACCCAGTGCTTGTTTTCATCATTAAATAATTAAATTAAATAAATTAATAAACTTATTTGTTTAAAATTATGGTTATGATCTCAAAATTAAATTTATTTATTTCAATAAAGATTATTAACTAATACAAACTTACTCAATAAATTAATTAGCCAAACTATTAAAGCTTCAATTAGAAAATTTTATATAAATTTTATTTTACATTCTTTTAAATCATCTAAAACTGTTTTAAAATTTATGAATTTTTGAATTCTTATCCTTCAAATCAATAATAAGAATCAATTTTTTAAAATAAAGCTAATTAATATTAAATAAATTTTTAATATTCAAATTATTCTTTATGTGTATATATAATGCACATTGTAATATTTAAATTTTTACTATATAATTATTTGATAATAGATCTAATACATAGAAAAAATAAATTTAAAGAAAGAATGTTTAAACTGATAAAAAAGATAGTAAGGGTATTTAAAATAAAAAAAAGGAAAGAAAATGGAAAAGAGTAAATATCATCATTAATTGTAATTTAATTTTTATTCATTATTAATCTTTTTTTGAATCTTAATTATCTTAAGAATTCTATGATTATTGTATATTATTTTCTTCTTCTTTATCTATAATTGATTCTTCATTTAATTGTTATTTTATTTCATTTAGTTTTTATTACTCTTCTTGTTCTTGGGATTTTAATTATTTGAAAAGTTCATAGTAAGATCCATCATTAGGAAATTTATTCAATTAGATAGCTTTTTTTTCTATTTTTGCTGCTTCTTTTTTAATTTTTAGTTTTAATTTTTCTTAGACTCTTTTATTATGTTTTTTGTTTGTGATTTCTTGACTTATCATGAATTTTTCTTCTCTAGTTTTCTAAAAGTCTTCATGCTCTTATCTCTATATTAATAAATATTATATACTTCTTAATTGATTTCTTCTTCTTCTCTTTATCTTAATGTATCAGCTCTTTTATATCTTCTATAAGCATGTAAATCTCCACTACCTGCAGCTGCTGTTGCACTTTTAGTAATTGTTGTTCTTTCAACCCAAATTGAAGGTCTCTTACTAATTTCATCACAAAATGAATTATACATAAAGAAAAATAATATTATATGAATAATATTAATATATATAAACTCTTATTACTTTGTAAATTAATTATGACAATATATATTTATTTCTATCATATATTATATTTTGTCAGAATCATTACAATTATAATACTACTTTGAACTTAATTAATTCATAAAAATTATGGAAAAAAATAAATTTTAGAAAATTTTTCAATTGATCTTCTCATCCTTTTGGATTATGTTCAGAAAAATTATTTTTAAAAAGTTACCCTTACTATTCTTTATAGTTGCTTTTTGCTTTATGTAGTTCTATGCAAATATAAAGTCAGCAGATTCTAATATTTTAAATTTAATGGAAAGAGTTCCATATGGAATTAATCAAATGGTTATATAATATGAACGTTAATTAATTGATTAAAATAATTTGAAATACCAAATGATATTAAAGGAAAAAATAGTTAAAGTTTAAAGAAACTGTTAATCATTATTTAAATGTTTTCCATCAGGAATTTTAACACCACTTTCTTGGATTATAGGAGGAGTGGCTGTGAGACATGAATATATTCTATTAGAAACAATTAATCATTTAGCAACTATAGAATTGAAATAGAATAAAGGAGATTATTTTATTGATATGCAGATATTTGACTATAATAAAAATTTCGCTTAATATTTAAATAAAGAAAGAGAATGGAATCGTTAATTAGATAGTTTAACATCTGAAGAAATTGGAGATTTGAATTTTTTTTAAGTTCATAAATTTTTGGGAATTATATTAGTATGTTGGAAAGGAATAAATATGTTTAAAAAAGGAAAATATGAAGTCTTATTTAAAAATTGCAAAAATCTAAGTAGAGCTTTATGTTATTTTTGTGCAAAAGATTCAAATATTGATTCCATAATGCAAAGTATACTTGGATTATATACTGATTGGTTATGTGATTTTGTTTAACGAAAAGAAATATAATGGATTCTCGATTATTTTTATGATTAAACTATTTCTTCAGTATCTAAAATAAGAACTATAATGAATGAAATCTAAAAACTAAGATAATAAGGATTCAAAATTGAGGAAGAACTAGAGGAAACACCTAATTGGAATATAATCTGATTAAATTCTTATTCTTATTTATAATTTATATATTTTTTTTAGATATAATTTAATAATTGATTTAACTTTCCAAATGATATAATATATTAATAGGAAAATGTTTATATTATTATTAAGAATTATAAAATAAGCTTGTAATAATTTTAAAAAGTAAGTAGTTTGAATTTTTAAAAGATTTGGTATATTAGATTGTATATTGAATATATATATATATAATAATTATACTAAATAATTAAAAATAAATAATATTTTATTTGTGTTTAGGCAAATGGCGTAGATGGTTATCGCGCTGCATTTACACTGCAGAGGTCCCGAGATCGATACTCGGTTTGCCTATATTTTTATAATTAAAAAATATAGGAAAAGTTGTTGGTATAATGTTAGAAGATATAAATTATTTATTATTCATTTGACTTTAATTAATGAAGTTAACAATTATAAAAGGAGGAAGATAATTTTTTGATAATATATATANTATTATTTTCTTCTTCTTTATCTATAATTGATTCTTCATTTAATTGTTATTTTATTTCATTTAGTTTTTATTACTCTTCTTGTTCTTGGGATTTTAATTATTTGAAAAGTTCATAGTAAGATCCATCATTAGGAAATTTATTCAATTAGATAGCTTTTTTTTCTATTTTTGCTGCTTCTTTTTTAATTTTTAGTTTTAATTTTTCTTAGACTCTTTTATTATGTTTTTTGTTTGTGATTTCTTGACTTATCATGAATTTTTCTTCTCTAGTTTTCTAAAAGTCTTCATGCTCTTATCTCTATATTAATAAATATTATATACTTCTTAATTGATTTCTTCTTCTTCTCTTTATCTTAATGTATCAGCTCTTTTATATCTTCTATAAGCATGTAAATCTCCACTACCTGCAGCTGCTGTTGCACTTTTAGTAATTGTTGTTCTTTCAACCCAAATTGAAGGTCTCTTACTAATTTCATCACAAAATGAATTATACATAAAGAAAAATAATATTATATGAATAATATTAATATATATAAACTCTTATTACTTTGTAAATTAATTATGACAATATATATTTATTTCTATCATATATTATATTTTGTCAGAATCATTACAATTATAATACTACTTTGAACTTAATTAATTCATAAAAATTATGGAAAAAAATAAATTTTAGAAAATTTTTCAATTGATCTTCTCATCCTTTTGGATTATGTTCAGAAAAATTATTTTTAAAAAGTTACCCTTACTATTCTTTATAGTTGCTTTTTGCTTTATGTAGTTCTATGCAAATATAAAGTCAGCAGATTCTAATATTTTAAATTTAATGGAAAGAGTTCCATATGGAATTAATCAAATGGTTATATAATATGAACGTTAATTAATTGATTAAAATAATTTGAAATACCAAATGATATTAAAGGAAAAAATAGTTAAAGTTTAAAGAAACTGTTAATCATTATTTAAATGTTTTCCATCAGGAATTTTAACACCACTTTCTTGGATTATAGGAGGAGTGGCTGTGAGACATGAATATATTCTATTAGAAACAATTAATCATTTAGCAACTATAGAATTGAAATAGAATAAAGGAGATTATTTTATTGATATGCAGATATTTGACTATAATAAAAATTTCGCTTAATATTTAAATAAAGAAAGAGAATGGAATCGTTAATTAGATAGTTTAACATCTGAAGAAATTGGAGATTTGAATTTTTTTTAAGTTCATAAATTTTTGGGAATTATATTAGTATGTTGGAAAGGAATAAATATGTTTAAAAAAGGAAAATATGAAGTCTTATTTAAAAATTGCAAAAATCTAAGTAGAGCTTTATGTTATTTTTGTGCAAAAGATTCAAATATTGATTCCATAATGCAAAGTATACTTGGATTATATACTGATTGGTTATGTGATTTTGTTTAACGAAAAGAAATATAATGGATTCTCGATTATTTTTATGATTAAACTATTTCTTCAGTATCTAAAATAAGAACTATAATGAATGAAATCTAAAAACTAAGATAATAAGGATTCAAAATTGAGGAAGAACTAGAGGAAACACCTAATTGGAATATAATCTGATTAAATTCTTATTCTTATTTATAATTTATATATTTTTTTTAGATATAATTTAATAATTGATTTAACTTTCCAAATGATATAATATATTAATAGGAAAATGTTTATATTATTATTAAGAATTATAAAATAAGCTTGTAATAATTTTAAAAAGTAAGTAGTTTGAATTTTTAAAAGATTTGGTATATTAGATTGTATATTGAATATATATATATATAATAATTATACTAAATAATTAAAAATAAATAATATTTTATTTGTGTTTAGGCAAATGGCGTAGATGGTTATCGCGCTGCATTTACACTGCAGAGGTCCCGAGATCGATACTCGGTTTGCCTATATTTTTATAATTAAAAAATATAGGAAAAGTTGTTGGTATAATGTTAGAAGATATAAATTATTTATTATTCATTTGACTTTAATTAATGAAGTTAACAATTATAAAAGGAGGAAGATAATTTTTTGATAATATATATATTATTATAAATAAAAAAAAAAGAATTGAAAAAGAAAATTTTTGTTGAAGAAAAGGTTGATGTTTGGAGAATGAATATTTAAAGATTAGATTGATAAGATGAATAATATATATTAATAATTTAAAGGAATAAATATAAAAATTTAAGAATAATATTGTATTCTTGTAATAATCTACGAAGTCAATCTAAAAGGTTTGATTAGTAAATAGAAAATAAAAATTAATAGGGTGTGTACAATATCTAAAGAGAGGGAATAATAGAATATTGAATTAATAATAAGAGATTAAAATTTTGATAGTTATTGAACAAAATAATAAATAGATTTTTATAAATTATGAGTTAGAAATATGTGTTTGAAGATGGATTTTAATTTTAATGAAGGAATCAAGATTATATAAAGATAGAGAAGATGGTTAAGTATCTCTAAATAAATCATAATAATTAATGGTGAAGGAGAGATAAAAAACTCATTAATAAATATAATTGTCAGAATTAAAAAATGAACAATTATAATATATGAAAGAGAGAGCATATTGGACAATAGGAGAGGAAGTGATATTATTAAAGTATGTAAAATGCCATGATGGATAATAATGGAATTGGGATGGATTGAAATAAAAGTTAAGAAAAAAAGATGGAAATGATTGTCAAAAGAGATATGATGAAATAAGAAGACCAAAAGATGGAGAATATGAGAAAGCAGAGACTCCAATAGATAAAAGTTGGGATGAGAGAAAAGAGAGCATATTATTATATTGTTATATGAAATATTAGGGTTAATGGGGAAAGATATAAAAAAGGATTAGTGAATTTAGTATTTAAGAATTATAAGAAAAATTAAGTGAAGTAATAATAATATATAGATTATATAGATACAAAATTCAAGAGCATTGAGTAATTAATGGAATGTATATGGAGACTATTAATTAATGGAAGGAATTATGAGAAATAAGAAATTTTAAGAATTAGAAGGATAATTAGGAAAGAATTAAGAAGAAATAATTAATCATGTTAAAGAAATACTTGAAGAATTAGGAAAGAAATTTAGAATTACAGAAAATGATTATTTAAGCGATAAATCAGAAGATTCTTAATAGATTCGAGAAAGAATATAAATACTAAGTAGTAATAATAGTAATAATAACAGTGAAGGGAGTGGATATAATAGTTCCGATAATTGAATTTATAAATAATATTAACCAAAATCAACTAATGATTTAATTTGACGTTGAAATATGAAAGTCTCTAAATCCCAAATATTCTATAAATTAATTATAAAAAATACCATCTCCACTTCCTTATTCAATATTGAATTCTAAATTTAATTCATTTGAGGAATGAGAAACAAATAAATCAACTTCAACAATTTAATAAGAGACTCCACATTTCTATTAATTATAATCACAACTATTAGGTTAATATTCATCAATATTCTGACAAATTCTAAAAATACATTTACCATCTTTTATATAACATTCACCTTCTTTAGATTGAAAACAATTATTTGTTGAAAGTCAATTACAAAAACTTGGTTAATTAATGCATCCATCATTATTAGAATTAGGTATACAGTAAATAAGAAATACATTATGTTAAATTAAATTCATTTAATGATCCTGTTGAGTTCTAAATGCTCGCAGTTTGACAGGATTTTGCTTAACAGGTATTGTTATTAGGATTCCATATACATATTGGATAACCAAATCTTTAGATTATACATTATTCAGCATTCATTCTTAATACACATTAATTTGATAATTCTTAACAAACATTACTAAATATAGTTTAATTTACTTATACATATCTAATTACACAACCTTTTAAATAATTATCACATTATTAATCACTTGTTAAATAAGAAGGAGCAGTTATACAAGATTTATCTATACATTTATTTCCATCCCATTCACATTCTATTTCTCTACCTCCAGGTTTACTAATTCTTAATACACAACCATCTTTTATTGTTATTGCTTCACATCTTAGTGGAATATACATACATCCATAGCCCAAATTATTTAATGTACATTTATTTAAATATTCATAGCATTTTTTATAACTTTTTATATTCCTAGAAGCTAATTCACAAACTTTTTATCTACATCTTTTATTCCATATACATTTTGATTAATCACAAATCTCATTATTATAAGAATTACTACAAAAACATTCAATACATTAATCTCCTGCTTTATTGATTGTGCAACTATCTAAAAATTCATTACATTATTAATGTGAAGATTTGTTATTTCATTCCAAAAACATAAATTACCATTAATATCATATTGATTATTACACTCTTATTCTATTTAAATCAATTATAAATTGTTTTATTCATACAACCTCCATTTTTATTTTTTATACAATTTATCATAATCTAATTACATTATTTAATCTTTAATTCCTAAATCGATATATTCTCACATTATTTTTTCTAACATTTTTCATTTAAATTCCAAAAACATATATTTCCATACTAATCAAACTAACAAGCTTATTATATATCCGCATCAGAACAATCTTAAATTTTTTAGCATCCATCAGGATATTTTGGAATACATTGTTTTGAAAAATCTTGGCATAATTCCCAAGTATTTAATTAAATAGGTGCTTTAGAGCAATCTCTTTTAATACACGTATTGATATTCCAATAACATTCTTCTTAGTAATTCTAACAACTTTAATAAGATTTCAATTTTTCACAATCTAATGTTTCAGAACATGCGTTTTATCCATCCTCATAACATTAATATTCTTTTATATCTTTTTTACAATTTGTTATATTTAATTTTAATGCTAAAGTTTTACAATTTCTCTCAAAACATTAATTATTTATCCAAATACATTATATTGTTTTGTCTACATTCCAATAGCATTAATTTTCATTTTGCTAATCAGAACAACTAAATCCACTATCAATACATCCTGAATTAATATTAACTGTGCATGATTTTAT